CGAAACATGTCACAGCTTTCGACAGCCAGGGCACGGCAAAAGCGGCAATCGAGTCGTTCGAGGTCCGGCGGCTGTGGGGTGACTGGCTTGGGACGAGAAGTCGGGGAGTGGGCGGGTCTTAGGATCAACGGCTCCAAAATTGAGCCGGTTGCAGCGTCGCATTCAAAGTGTAAGGGTGCTTCCACAGGCATGTGCATGATGTCTCAAACGAGTACTCGAGACGGCAGTAGACTAGTCCTGCCTGCATGCAACGGACGATTTGCCAACAGTACCCTCGTTTGCCAGCAGAGCTCCTTGAAAAAGATAGGGAGGTAGGGACCTGAGCGTTGAAGAGCTTCACTGCGCATAACATACCGCACTGAACTTTGCCAGCATGTGTAACTACAGTGTTGGGGCAAAGGGTGTGAGCAGTACTTGACTTAATTGAGCAAAACAACTTAGTTGAGCGAAGAAACGTCGAAGGTCACATGTGCATCGTCCCAACAGGTGAACCGTGAGGATGTTGCAGAACAGACTCGGGAGATGCACAACGAGCGTACTACGGCCTTACTCTCAGGCTTAGTGCCCATCCTAAATGCTAGGCTCTGAAGCGGCAGCTCCCGTTGAGGGCTCATGTTTCGGTACACCGGCAGCACAGGATAGACTAGATGTAGCAGGTCTCGTCGGCCGAAGGCTTAGGCTTAGGGTGTTGATCTCGGTTCCAATTTCATAGTCATAGTTGGCAGCTGGGAGCTTTGGTGCTTGCGGGTTTGCTGTCCAGGCCCTTGAACTGTAAGGAGGCAAAGAACTCGAAGCGATTGAACCCCGACCAAGATCATACCAGTAGACTAAGTAGCGCAACTAACCAAAGGAAAAGGAAAAGCCTTCTCAGCAACAGCTATACCAAAGGAATATACAGTGTCGATGTCGCCGTCATCATCACCATCATCACACCATCATCACACCATCATCACCACCATCATCATCATCATCATAAGCAACATCATCACCGTCATCACCATCATCATCATCATCGTCATCATCATCATCATCACCATCATCATCATCATCATCTCCGGATGCCGTGGCTGAAGTGTTCCGGGCTTGTGGTCTTTGAGTCCTAATTCGTGTTTTGGAGGAGTCATGACTTGCTGTATCAGGTGCCGTTCTGGAGCCCGGGGCCTGAGTGAAATCCAATTTTCCCACTGCTAGGCCAGGCTGGATGTCGGCCGAATGCTCTATAGGCAGCGACGTGGTGGTTTCGCGGTTGTCAACCCAACGGGGTACCCCGCGCCTGCCTCTTAGCTGACTGTTTTCCTGCTTCACAGCCGCAAGACATGCGGCCACGAAGCCGTGCACCCCAGAATGGCAGTGCTAGCAACGTTGGTGTGACAGATGACACCTGCAATGAGAGCATTCATGGCGTGCCGTAGAAGCAATCATGCTAACATTTCCAAGCCCGAACATGCACCAAGCCACAAACAATCCATGACACGTCGTCGGATCTTTGGGTCCACTTGCAGAGTGGTGTGTCCGAGCTGCCACGCAGAATTGAAATTCAACAATCCTGGAATTCGGGGGCGTTCAGATGCCGGTGCCCGGATGTGGAGCCAGTGGTCGCAGCGGCTGATCGCGGAACGTGTTTTACGGCTTCTTTACGGTGAACTTGCAACATTTGTGACCCACTCACAATTCCCACAAACTGCAGCCTGCTGAGTCCGACCTTCTCAAGCGGAAAACCATCATCATACTCGCAACAAAGACTGCGGCAATTTGCACACAAAGATGTTGCCGTTTCGTCAACGTCAACGATGTCATGATTCACAGCATCACTACTGCCACCACCGTTATCATCATCGTCACCATCATCGTCACCACCAACAACAACAGTTGCAGTGCTCGCAACAGCGGCCGCAGCAGCACCACCACCACGAGTATGACGACCACAGCGACGGAGCTGCTCACAGCCGCAGCCACTATGACGACAAGGACAAACGAACGATGCCACGACATGTACAGCGATAAAAGGGCGTCAAGGTGAATAGCTCGCGGAGATCAAGTCGGATTGGAGTTTCCCAGGCCAGCCTAGTCCACGCAAGAGACTCGGCCTCCCTCGATCTCGAGGAGCGGTGACCTTGCGTGGATCGGCTGAGGTGTCTTCCGCATCGTTGACTGCTGCGGCCACTTAGACTTAGGTGTGCTCCAAAAGCCGAGAGTTACAAGGGGTTGTTCAAAAACAGAGCCCCCTCTCCTGCACTCTAGATGGGCGAGAGCTCAGCTTGCGGAAAGTCCTACGTGTGCCTAAGTGAGGACAACCCCCCCTGGATGCCTGAAGGCAATTCGATTGCACCATTGCCCAACCCGAAGGGTGCACAGAATGGTGTTGCAGTCCCTCACAGTTCTGCTCAGGCAGTTGCAAAAAGTCTCGCGAGCAAGTCCTGCATCACACTCTAGCCTGACCCGCGCACGAAGCTCTCTGCCATCCGTTCACGCAGCGGAGCCGGCTTCTTCCCAATTTGCATCAGCTGCATAAGTTCCAGGGCCTTCAGGTTTCCACCAGCTCCTGCCTAGTTTTGAGGGTCCGGTGCAGGGCTGCGTTCATCTTTCGGTTGACCTCCAAAGAACGCCGGGAACCGGGAGCGCAGGCTGCAGGAGATCTTGGATGATCTCAGGGAGGGCAAAGAGATCGACCAGATCATGATCGAGACGACGGCACGCGGCAGCTTAGTTTAGGTAGGGCCCCGAAATAAAGCCCAGGCAAGAATCTCTTGGATCGAGGTTCCCATACCGCAACTGCAGCAGGATGAGAAGCAGAGGTGATAAGTTATGAACAATTACAAAGTCAACTAGTAGCAGAAGTACGACTACGAAACAGTAAGGACAACAGTAGAAAGGGCAACAGCAACAACAAGAATACTGATCATAACATGACATTGATATGGTTAGCAGGTCCTCCCTGAATCCTAGACGGAAGCATCAGTATGTTAACTGATTTGGTAGCTGTCCGGAGCATTAACTGACATAGTAACTGCCTTATGAATGCACTAGTTGTACAAACTTATCTAGTCAGTGCGAACGAACAAGAAAACCCATAGGAACCTTGGAGCCCAACATAAGACGAATGGTCGTACATCCAATCAGCATACTATATGAAATGCGAACGGTACTTATGATACAATATAATGGGCCGTCCTCTAAGTCACAACTGATTCAAGGTCCAGTGGCATGAACGATGAGAGGGTTAAGGTGTTGAGTAGATTAGCCTGACAGTGGTCGATGCCAGGGGATGGAAACCCGAAGCCCTGAACCCTAAATCTAAATCCTAAACCCTAAGCCCTAAACCCTAAAACCCAAACCCCAAACCCCTAAACCCTAAACCCTAAAACAAATCCTAGAAACCCACAGGCCTGCTGACTGTCTACAGCCTCAGCCTATCTAGGAATGCTTAGCGTGGTACTCCTGCAGATGGAAAAAGGCCTCAAAAGAACATAAATCCTAAGCCCTAAACCCTAAAACCCTAAACCCTAAACCCAAAACCCAAAACCCGAAAGCCTCAACCCCGAACCAGGGGATGGCAGATCCGGTCCCCATCGTCCGGACCTTCATGTCCAGCCCAGAGGTTACGAACCCCTGGCACGCTTCTGGACTCCACCTTGCGACCTATTAATTAATATATTATTCTACTATATTATATCATATTATGTTATATTATTCTATATTATATTAATCGAGGCCCCATAACTGCTTCGACCAGAATCCATCTTCTTCCGCCCAGCCTGAAGGACGACTCTTCAACGTCCTTCATGTCGACTCCTGTTCGCATGGTGCAGTATGTGGCGCCTTCAAACGCGAGCTTGCCCAACACCGTCATGTCTTTGCGAGGACAGAGAAGACCCAAGACCGGCTCAGGTCATCTAATATAGAAGCCTAAATCATTACCAATAACATTTTTTTGTTTTGGCATGGCAAAGTTCGCAAAAGTTGAGCCCGGCTCATAGCCTCTCCGCGCTCCAAGTCTCGCAGACTGCTGAGCATGAAATGGACGATACCCATGGCGGGGTCCCACCCCGTACATGATGTGACTTTGGGCCGATGATGTGGTTTTGGGTGGGTCTACAGCTGCTCTCAGCGATTGCCATGAAATCCGAGACACATGGGTAGTTTTTTTAATGAGGGTCCCTTTAGGATCCTGTTTATAAGGGTGCGGTACCATATTTGGGACCTAAAAGGGGGTCCTAATTTAGAGAACTCCCCACATGACAGGTGCGATCTTCGACTTGATGCCGTCAGTTCCTCAGGATGGAAATAGCACTCATGCAGCAGCTTTGTCGCTTTGGTTCCAGGCTTCACCGCGGATTCGAGGCAGGCTTGACGAATGGACTTGACAGCGTTGCTTTGTGGCTCATGCCCAACTGCCCAAACCGTAATCACGTTCAAAGTACAGTGTACGACGGTCAACAAAGTCATTCGACTGGCGATCATCGTCATCACTACCATCCCCAGATCCGTCACAGAAACCGTCTAGTGACGTGTGCATTCTTCGTATATTCAGTTCAATCTGTGGCTGCCTGGCCCCCTTTCCAGGCACCTACTCCAGTGTGAGTTTGCCTGCACAACCCGAATCCGTCCCCCGTCTCAGGACCCCAAGAAGCCAAAACCCCCAAGACCCAAAGCACAAACCCAAAGCCCCAATATCCCCACCCCCGAGCCCCGTTAACCCAAAGCCAAGCTGCTCTAAGGCTCCAGTCCCCAAGCCCTAAACCCTAAACCCTAGGGACCGAGTAAGACCCCAAACCTCAACCCCCAAACTGAGGGTCGGCAACGCTGACCCCTACGCCCTGCAGAAAGAAAGAAAAGATAGATAGATGGATAGATAGAGAGATAGAGAGACAGATAGATAGACAGATAAACAGATAGATAGACAGATAGATAGATAGAGAGTAGTAGTAATGCTAGCTTTCATCTTGACATATTGTGTAGTCGTACAGCAAAAGGGACATAGGAAGCCCCACAGCCCCGAGGTCATCACCGTAGCGGATGCCAAGAACCTTCGGGGCCGCCTCGATGACAACATCGAGGAGGGTAAGGCTCGGGCAGAGACTTTGGATGTAGACGGTTTAGGGTTTTGAGTTTCTGGTTGAGGGTAGGGAATCGAGTTTAGGGTGGGGGGTGTAGGGTCGAGGGTTGCGGGGTTTGCGGGGTATGGGGTCTAGAGCTCAGGGTTTAGGGGATGGGGTTTAAGGATTAATGTACGCTTGTGGTTGTGGAGTTTGTGTCGGCAAGTCAGGACTTTACCCGTAGGCTGCTGCAAATACCGACAGCACACCGGCACCGACAATAACGACCATACCAAAGCCAGCACCCACACCCATGCCCACACCGATACCGACACCGGACCAGACCGACATGGACACCAACGCCGACACTAGTTCCAGCACCAGCAGCACCAGCAGCACC